AAAAAAATGGGATTGCAGAAAGTGGGATCCTTAGGCGAAGGTTTTTCGTAGATGACAAACCACATTATTTTTTGAGATCAAATCGAATAAAACGATTATGGATAATACAACAGTGTGATAATCATCTTAATGAATGGCAAATATTGAAAACATCTCCGAACTTAAACTTGCTTATTGTCAGCATGGCAGTTCTATAAAAATCAATAACATTCAGAAGAGATTATTACAAATTCATATTTCGTTCMCACCGGCTTTTTAACCGACCAAGAACTCCAAACTTGGCACCATTCCTCGTAATTACTTCAGGGATATTTTCTGTCCCTAAAACAACAACAATAAATATACGTTATAGAATATTAAACTTCACTGCCATGGTCTGACTTCTAAAACAGACGACACATAATGCGAGAGACATGCCATTACGGTGTTTTMTGTAGCCCAGTGACTTTGGATAATTGTAAGAATTTCTCTAACGAAAATGCCCCAAGTAGTTAAACTGCGCACTGAGCTTACAAAAATTGGATTTGAACGTCGGTTGAACTTTGAAAAAAAGTTGCCAACTATAATATCAAAGTTGCAGTGAAGGGTTATTTTTTACATTATACCATTACCCTCTATCTTCATATAGAGTACTTGACAATTAGACACGTGCCTACGCAAGTACACTTAGTTCTTTTACTACGTCCTCCGATCCCTTGGAAACAGAAAGATAAGTTAGTTAAGCGAATATTGTGCAGTATTTGTTACAAAGGTGTATCAATATTGTTAGAGTGCTTAAGGTGTGTTTATTAGTTTTTAATGGATAGTTTTTGGCAAAGTTCTACTTTTATGGAAAAATAGAAAGCTAAATATTGACTCGCAAATGTCATGCTTTAACTTCAAATCTGAAGAGCAAGTCAAGAATTATTTATTGTATTTAATTATATTTTATTTTTTTTATTTATTTTTTCTTAGTAAGAAGCTTCCCAAAATCACAATAATGCGTCAGCCGACATACTTGTGACTTCTACTAATAGAGCCGGATGGTGTTGAGAAATTTAAAATCTTATTTTTGGAAGTATTTCCAAAGCTGCTTAAAAGAGTATTTCATGGATTGAAAGATGAATTTTCATAAATTATCCGACTGATATTAATTTATAAGGATMAATTTTAGCATTAATGAAAAGTTTTGCATGAATTTTCAGTTTTTTGAATACGCCCTTTATAGGTTAGTATAAAGCCACAAATAATACAGTTGGTGAATTTTATTCACGATTTAGTATCGCCTATAATATTGAAAACAACTGAACGAAAATTCATACGTACTTCCTTGGCAAGTATCCGAAAAGTGGTCGTTTGAACATAAATGAAGGCGTGTTCTCGCTCTYTTCGTCTTGGCATATTTGCTGGATCACATAAATTTCCGCAGGCAATMGGTTGGCATTGTGGGCGCATAATTTTCTTCTATTCACTCAAAAAACCAATAATCTAGTTAGTTCTTATTGTATCTCTTCTGCGGCCTACTTTGGGTGATGCAATTTATCTGACGGTTTATTACGTTCTCATGAAGAAGGAGGTTCACAAAAAAGCAAAAACAGCACATAAAACAGCGAGCGATATAAAAAGTAGAAGATGTGTGAACATAAAAAACAAAAAAATATTATAATAAAAATGTAAGCTCTGTTATTTTCGTCATTTTTGCTGTCTGCGTCTTATTCTACATGGGTTCTTATTTATTTAGGTCTGATTGCTCTTTAACGTGTTTTTYCATAATTTCGTAACACTCGTTTATTTTCTTGCTTACAACAATTCATTAAGGTTGATTCTACTGGATTATTGTGTATCCTTAGATTTATTATTCTGTTTTATATGTTTGCAGGAAGATATCTTCAATTGAGTCACAGTGTATGCACAACTGAGTTTGCTGCCTAAAAAAAATTTCATAAAAGAAAGCAGCAGATAAAATTTGAAACCGATGATTTAGGAATTGTTAGTTTGGACATTCTCTCAAAGGAAGCTCCTTTTCGCGCTGTYTTAGGCGGCTTTAAAATAGRCTGGTCTTTTCCAWGATTTGGCGYATGGTGAATATATGATCAGCTGTTAATTTTCCATCTATCATTTGTTGACGGTGGGCTTTAACCTTATACGATGTTGACACAGTTTATCSCACGGTAGTTGGCGCAGATCGTCTGAAACTCTTTATACAAATCTTTTCTAACTTTKAATATCTTGTGCTGTTATAACAAATCCGAAAGAGAGGGTGTTACAGGTTTCAGAATGCCTTAGATTGGCTAATGAATATTTCTTAAGCAGTTTTCTATGTCAGAAAAATTGTGGCTTTCAAAGAGCTTACCGGCTTAATGCAAGTTAAGATAAAATAGGTGAGGAGATCGACTATGAGCGCTATCACATTTAAGACACTTAAGAACACCGATCCAATGTGGCACTCGGTGGTATATACTAAATCATAAGCCGGTATCACAAATTTGTTGAGATGGCTAACTCAAGTTTCGGCTGCGTCTACTGATTCGCCGAAGTTAAGACTAACAAATTGTTTCASTYTCAGTMTTGCAAAGGCTGGATAATGGTTATCGACCAACGCCTGCTAGGCGCTACAATAGAATACATTTATCTTTAATGTATGAGTTTTTTGGAAAATTTGATGTAAAAGCGCTCTCTGACATAGCTATATTAGTTTTTTTTGTATTGAGATAATCATCTGAAATTCAGCATTMGTCCTATTCTCACCAAGAA